ATTTTTACTTTCTAAATCCTCTGCACAGTGGTGCAGAGGCCCTGTGGTACCTTCTGCTCCTCTACCAGAAGGCCCTGGCACCAACACGGTGGACTGGGTGGTCTTGCGTGGTCTTGGGCAGCACACGCCTCAGCCTCACCTTGCGTCCCTAGAGCCTCCTTGGCAACCCCTGATCCTAGCTTTTTCTCTTCAGGCTGTGTTCCCAGTTGGTCTTGCCCTCTCTGCTCTTCTCCAAAGAGGACATCCCATGTGCTGACTTGAGTTGCAAATCTTAAATGGGCGAGAGCACCAAAATTATCTTTCCATGTTTATCCAACTGTCTTTGCATGTTGACTTCAGATCTCCTCTCCCGGCAAACTATCTGGTGCATTGAATGTTTGAGGGAGGCCTGGCTGGAAGAAATCATTGTATGGACTATGACAGTCTATTTAGGCTGTGCAGATCTGTTGATGCCTCTCTGATTGACCCAATCCACCTTCATGGAAACAGACCTTTTCCTCCTTTCTTAGAGTTCCTCAGATCTGGTCTGTGGTCTCTTTCCCCTTCGTTCTTAAGGTATCTTTTGGCCACCTTTCGGAAGTGTTTCTCAAACTGTCACCTGAGAGGTCATTCTTGGAGGTCGCCGCATTGTTTCCAGAGCTTCTGTTGACAAGCATCCCACTTTGAAAGGATACCTACATCCTTCTATGTTAGAAAGTGCTGGCATTCCTCCATGCAGCTACTTCCTCCTGGCAAACTGCCAGCTGGATCACCAGAAGAGAAAAATAAAGGCTTTCTCCCTGCTTTCTCTGTGAGTTCCCCGGCTGTTCTCTGGGTCCCTCTCATGGGTGATTGGAGCCTGCTGCCATCTCCAGTGGTCTCTCGATCATCTGATGTGGCAGGCTGAGCTCACTGTTACGGGTTGTGTGCGGAGGTTAGGCGGATGCGCTTCCTTGGCTCCCCTGGAAACCCTTGCTGCTGATTTGGGGAAGGAGCCTGGTGCACTTATCGGGCAGCTCATGGGCACTGCTCTGATCCCTGCAGCACCCATCATGTCCTGGTGTCAGCCGTTGGATGCTCCCTCCTTCTGCCAGGTTAAGAAAAGTGGCTGGAGCATCTTGCTAGGGAAGGTTGATAGGAGGAATTTCTGTCTCAAGCAGGCTGACTGCTCCCTTTTCTGAGGCTTTGTTTTTCTGCCTCTTTTCTCTTCTCTGTCCTTCTAGCCCTGACGTTTACCCCGGCCCCTTGCCCTTCAGCAGCTGTTCAGGGAGAGTACTGTGAAAATTAGCTCAAGTGCCTGTCTGGCGGAGAGTGGGTGGATTTGGCTTCCACGGTCCTTGAAAGCCTGTGCGCTGTTGGGCCCCTTTCTATGCAAACTCCTTGAAATTGCACCAGGTAATTGCCCCAGCAGGACGATGGGGTAATGGGCTGCGGGCAACCAGCTTCCAGGAAAGCTGAGCTGCCTCTCTTGTCTGTCTGAAGATCGATACACAAATCAAGGCATAATTTGATCCGCCTCCAGCTAGAGCAGAGAGAGGAGTCGGGAACCAACGGCAAGGCAGGCAGAAACGCTGAGTTGCTCCCAGCTTCGCGCTTCTGGCCTGCAGCCTCCTTGCACGTGGGATCCGCGCTGGAGCAGGGCTCAAAGCCTTCCGCCAGGTGCTAGGTCCGTGCAGGCGGTGCGGATGTGGCACGACTTTCCGACAGCCTCGTGCCTGGGCACGGCTGGGGCGTCCAGGGCCAGGCCGGGGAGGGGAGCGGAGGTGTCCTCCGGCCTGGGCAGCTCCTTCTGTAGCAGGAACAGATGCTTTTTATTACAGTTAGAGTTTTTCCATCTCATTCTTTTTAGCGATTGATTAAAGTGTTTCTTCTCCCTCCCTCCTTCTCCCCCATTACATACAGCTGCACATGGATTTTAGGGTCATGCTTGTTTACATCAGTTATATTTACATTAATGGATGTTTGTTTTGGGGAAAACAGCAGAAATCCTGCAAAAACAAACGTTGTTTGCATCCAGAATTGCCACGGCTGTCCCGTGGTGGTGGTTCCCAGGGACGGGGCCCCCTTGGACAGCCCTTTCCCAAGAGCTCCTGTTCAAGCCGCCCCTTATCCGCCAGCCGGGAGAGGCCGCTCCGCTGTCTATAAATAGCTCTGGCACGGGCACAGGCTGCTTCCAGGATCCATCGGATACCGGCCGGGAGACTCCTCCGACACGAGCGATGAGCAGCACCCTGAAACAGGCAGGTTGGCTGCGATGCCTTTTTGGGGCCAGCGCGTTTGTACGGTGTCACGCGGAGACCGGCGTGGCGGAGAGCGTTTAAGAAGAAGAAGAAGGGGGAAGGAGGAAGTATAATTGTTTTTTCAAATAGCTTTCAGCTGCCGGATGCCTTTACGGTTCCCTCTGGGTTCGTGCGGGTCAGGCTGGAGGGAGCCGGGCCCGGCGCGGCGCACCGCTCGCCTCTGTCAGCCTGTCTGCGGTCTCGGCCGTGAGCCGGGATACCGAGACCCAGAACCTCAGATCTTCGCTGCGGCTGGGGAGAGGAAAAAGCAGAGCTGCCTTATCACGCTCATTTAACTGGTTAATACATCTTCAGAGCAAATAATGCAGTCTGTGGGTGAATTGCTTAACCAACCTCATTACTATTGTGCATTTAGCAGCTTGGAGGAAGATAATACCTTTCAGGTTTGACCCAATTTTAGTTTTTGTTGTCATAACCATGGAAAATCGACCTTCAGAGACCCTCAGCAGTGAGCCTGAATAGGAAGTGATTTACAGCAAAAGTGCTGTGCAGAATACTTAATGCATTTGTGCAGAAAAGCAGACTGCAAGAGTCGCGTTGGCATCCGTAATCTCCCCCCGCAGCAGGTGCTGCCCGCGCTGGCTCTCTCCCCGCAACGGCCCGTTCCTGGGTGCGCGCTGGCTGCGCCGC